TGTATAACTTCTTTCTAAACCTCGTCTTTGTGACTCGTTAGGGTAACATACATGTATTTTCAGATGTTTTGTTGAGAAATCAAGGCTAGATTTGTATATACTCAGAATCTATTCCTTTGAGATGAAGAAGGAACTAGTCACCCATACTGTTCCATCTTGACCCACCTTTAAAAAAAAAATCCTTTAGAGAGCCATTTTGAGCCTGACCCAAATGTTATAGCCTAAATTGTTGAGCTCCATGACCAAATGGCTTGTGTTCTGACCCGCGAATAGAGTGCTCATTGTTTAGTTGTTTTTAGGCGTTGGTTGAATAGTTCTGAGTTGAGTAAGTCTTGTGATAGCTGTGTTAGGCACTGTTCTTATGCCCCAAACGGGGTACGAGCAGTCAATACTCCGGGAGTTGACGTTCTTGATCATTGCATAGTAGGCATGGATTCACTTTCTTAAAATAATTTCTGTTCTTAATTTAAACTTTCTCTGGTGAGGCCGAGATTAGAATGGGGTGAGAAGTCTAGCAAAAATATGAAAAAAAACAAAAAAATTAATCAACAGCTAGCTTCTCACCTTTCGAAAAAGGGAATGGGCGAACCAGTCAAAAAACGTACGTGCTATGCACAATAAGATGAGACTGGTTAGCTTTCGAAAGAAACGGGGTTCTCGTGCCAACATAATAGAGAAAACAAACGTAATTAATGGGATCTGGAGGCTTCTGGTCAGAAATTGAAATAAATTTGCAGACGTCCTCCCCGTACTTCAAGTATACGACGCAGCACCAATGCGTGTTGCGGCGGTTTAGCTTAGTTGTACACCGTGCCTACCCCTTGCATAGAGATAGATAGTTGTCCCGGTTGTGTTGTGTTACTTGTCTTACTCTCCTTAGATTGTTTCGCGATACGCCTGATCATGCTAACCAATCTTACACTTTGTTCCATATTCTTAAGGAGAATACCCTCATTATTCTTCTTTGTTCACAACCTCTACCACCAAGACCTTCCGATTGAGGAATAGATTCTTGTATATTAGATCGCCTGAGCATTTTGAATTTTACTGATGAATCTGCGTGCATAGAGTCCTACGAGTCAGATTAGAAGTTGTTTAGGAAGAAGTTGTCGTGATATCCTGTACAGTTTCCTGTGAATACATTCTTGTCTGTCTGTTTCTGATTTGCTTGAAATTTGTAACCCGTACTTGCTGTCTGAGGTCTAGTTTGCTTGAGGACAAGCAAAGACTCAAGTGTGGGGGAGTTGATAAGGTGTGAAAACACCTTATTTGTTATCCAAATTCTGAGTCGTTGCGTGACAATTTTGCAGCATTCTAGCATGTTTTTCGTGTGGTTTTGGTTTGTTTTCGATTGCAGGACTAGAATAAAAGCTCCACTTGACTTTGAGGATATTTGGAGCAAATATGTGGGCAAAAGCAAGTTTTCAGACGAGTGCGAAGAGCATTGTGGATTCGGGGAAGAAGCTGGAGCTTAAAAGAGATCGAAAGAAGGAAACGGACGAGAGAGGGAAGTTTTGGACTGGACCGAGCAAAGGAAGGGCATCACGGGATGAAAAGAAGAATTCTTTGGAGGCCAGGGAGGAGGAACGCCCATAGGAACGCCGTTCCACTCACCTTTCCTACGCTGCAGTTGATTCCGGAACTCCCAGGTGTGGGAACGCTGGCAGGGAACGTCGTTCCTCTCAGCGTTCCTGCAAGAACGACGTCCCTGCTCTGTTCCTCACGGCGTCGAACTCTCTGCCAGACGATTAGTTTATTTTGTAAAGAAAGGAACGCCCATGGGAACGACGTTCCTCCCGACGTTCCCCCGACTGCGGAAACATTTAAAAACGCGAATTTTACCCTTTTTACAAATCTTTTGGCCAAATTTCGACTTTGGAGAGCTCAAGAACCCTAGTTAAGCTTGTAATCTCTTACTTTACTACTCTCTTTCACTCTTAATCATTGTTTTAGATTACAATTACATGAATTTACTCTTTAATCGATACAAATCTTAGTTCTTCTCAATTCTCTTGCAATTCCCTTTAGTTATTTAATCATGCATATGTTCTTATTCTTTGCAAATCTTTTGATTTCGTCTTCAATTATGTGTGAGTAGATTGTTTAGGGGTTGGGGGTGATCAAGGATCACCCCATCATGTGATCTTTGGGTTTAGATTCATTAGGGAAATCAATCAATATAATATGCATGCCAAGTGTTTGTGAAAATTCCTCAATGACTTTTTTTCTCTTAATTGATGGCCACAATTTAGGTAGAAACTTGTTAGAACCCGCGAGGAGACTCGTAGGATTTCTCTAGACACCTTCACACACACACACACACACACACTATCTCCTCGCCACGAGAGTGGGAAGAGATAGGGGTCACGTTAGTTGAATATGCTAAATTGTTTAGCCTAGGAAAGTCAATGGATCACGAGAGTGGCCGTTCAGTTCCCTTGGCAATCTCTTGGCCACGAGAGTGGCGAGAGAACTTTCACCAGACCCTCGAATGCATGTTTGTTGATTGATCTCCCCGATAATCATTTTTCCTAGTTGATTACATGATGGGTCCTTGAGACCCCCCGCTTCCCTTCTATTTGAGATTATTAATTTCTTTCGTTGCTTGCTATTTTTTTCTAAAACCAAAACACTACTTGATCGATTAGCTTACATCTTAGACACTTAAGTCGAATTCACACTTACTTTCCTTATACACCGTCCCGAGAGACGACATCTGGGACTTCCATATCCCAACACACACACACCCCTTGATACTCGTTTGCATAAAATGAGCCATCAGTACTTCTACTTCTTCAGTAATCCCTTCATTATTTGGTCGAGGTAAAGGGAGAATCAATTTACACTCATCCAAACCATGCTCTAAATATATCTCACACTGCCCACAAGCACCAGCCATATCTATGAGCTGACGTGTGGATGCATCATTGAACAGGGCAATCAAGTCATCCATAGGATCAATAGGTTTAAAAAAACAATGCTTTAATATTTTCATAGTTCCCAGAGTAGGTGGACCACCTATTTGATAGTTTTCCCTTGAAAATAAATAGTTTTTGAGAGTCCACAATGAGTAGCTTTAAAACGAAAGTATGTACTTCCTCCGTCCCTAAATAAACTTCCAACTTTCCTTTTTCGTCCGTCCCAATTAAAACTTCCACTTTCCCTTTTTGGTAAAGAATTTGTGGTTCACAACAAGTCTTACATATTTCCCTCTCCTTTGCACAACTCTCCACTACACAATAGAGTTGTAAACGAATCGAATCGAGTCGAATAGTGCGATTTCGTATTTGTATTTGTTTAGATTTTTCGAATACGAATCCGAATTCTGTTATGAAACGAATATTATTTTCATTTTGTATTTCTATTTGTTTAACAATACGAATAGTTAACGAATCATATACGAATACCGAATTGATTTGATCATAGGTTAAATATTAATCAAATATTCAAATATCACTCTAAAAAAACTTTTCCTATATTTCTTATGTTATAAATGCATGCTATGACTTAGGGAATGTTTGCGATTTCTTGTACTTTTTTAAAGTGATTTTTTAAGAGATTATTGAAAAGTGATTTGTAGTAAAAGTATGGAGTGTTTGAGAATAGAAGTGATTGTGATTAAAATGTAAAAGTTGAAGTGTCTGGTAGAAAAGTGATTTTTGCTGTAATAACATATCAAAATACAAAAATACCCCCAAATTAAATAATGAATCCAAGAACAGTAATGAGAGACGGACTACTGCCCTGCCTCCTTTACGCTTGGCTTCTTCCCCCATTTCCCTCAAAGTTGTAATTATCCAAGAAGCAGAAAAAAACATGTTCATGATTGGTTCTAATTTATGGCTTTAAAGTGCTTTTTTAATTAGAATTTGGATTTGGCAAACACTTTTTTTTATAGCTTTTTTTAAGTTAAAAGCTGAAAAGTGCTTATTTTAAGCAACCCAAACACTCCTTTAATATGCGTTTTACAATTTAGTTTGTAACATTACATTTTCCTTAAAATTTAATAGATCGATGCATTTTTAGGTTGTGCACAATATACTGAGGTGAATCAATTTTATTATTATTATACATAAATATTTTTCAAAGTATTTGAAATAAACACTAACACACACATATGAGAAATTATACATATAATTTGTGAAATAAATTGATAATTGAATATATTCTATACTTTCGAATTTAAATCATAATTTGTGAATCCAAATCATGAATCAAATTAAAATCATTTGTTTCGTTTACAACCCTTACTCCTTATTATACTTTTGATTTATTACAAATTGGCTTGGAATTTGTATACCTAAATGTATATATGGCTACACTTTGAGGGTATGGCTAACTTTTAAAAGTTATTATGTGTTATTACTATTATTATTACTAATACTAATATTATCACTAATATTAATCAAATATATTTGATTAACATTCGAATCAAATATAGTGATATTCGTATTTGTATTTGATAACAATTCGAATCAAATTTAGTATTCTTATTTGTATTTGTATTTGAATTTTTCGAATACGAATCGTCTTATACGAATTCGAATCGCGAACCGAGCATAAATTATTTGATTCCTTTACAACCCTACCACACAATACTAAATATCTTAAACTGTGTGTCTATCCCATTTGGGAGTTTTATTAGGGATGAAGGTAGTAACATTTATTAGACACAATAGCTTGTGATACAAAATATAACCAAATAATTTTTTTTATCAATTACGGAGTAATTTTCTTTCCAATCACGAAAAAGTTCCAAAAGCAATTTTTAGCTACTTACTCAGTATATATCAATAGATAGTTTTGCTCCAGTTTTTTTTGACACGAGATATAGAAACATTTATGCTCTGTTTGGATAGAGTTAAATTAAATAAATTTAGTGCAATAAAGTAAACCTGCGTTTTAATAAAAACTAGTTTAACCTAAGTGAACCTAAATTCATACGTAAAATAATGTTTGGAAATATAGAATGTAAACTTAGATTGACCCAAAAAACAAACATGCCATTAGGTTTGGTTAGAGAACTACCCAGCATCAAATTTGCATTGCTCAGTCTGGTTGCCATCGAGTGTTGATATGAATGGATATTTTTTCTGTATCCTTCACCGCCCAATTTTCACAACCTCCCCCGGTAACACCCTTCTCAGGGAAGAGCCAAACACCGACGCCATCTTCCTCCGTACTCTCACTGAAACCCCTTCGGGGCTCCACTGACGGTTCCCGGCTCATCCCTTATTCTTCCTCATCTTCCAGCCCACGCCGTCCAACCCTTCACAATGACCCATCAACCACCTCCAATACAAAGGTCTCTAAGCTCCCCAAGAATCCCCTCAAGAATCTCATTAGTTCCATCCCGCCCCCTCCGACTATCCCAACCCCTTCACCACCCCCGCCGTCGCCTCAAACCCTATCTAGTAAGCTCCGCTTGTCTAGCAAACTCTTCCCGCCTCTGCCGCCGCCGCCACCACCACCTCAAGAAACAGTCATTGAAGATGGTGACAATGAATTTGACGGGAGATCTGGAAATTCAGACTCCGAAGGAATGGTACTTAGAGATGTATTTAGAGAGGAAGGTAAGATCTTCGTGGGAAATTTACCATTGTGGGTCAAGAAGTGCGAGATTGCAGAGTTCTTTAGGCAGTTTGGGCCTATTAAAAACGTGATCTTGATAAAAGCTCACCATGAAACTGACAAAAACATGGGGTTTGGATTTGTCATATATGGAGGGCCCATGGCCGAGAAGGCCGCAGCTAACGCTGTGGAGTTTGACGGGGTTGAGTTTCATGGGAGGGTGTTGACTGTGAAGCTGGATGACGGAAAGAGAGTGAAATCCAAAAGAGAGGAGAGAATGAGAATGGTGGAGGGAAAAGATGATGGAGAAGAGTACAAGTCCAAGTGGCATGAAGTGAGGCAAGCTTCCAGGACAAATTTGAGGAGAGTTTTAGAATCGTATCCTGATAATTGGCAAGCAGTGGTAAAAGCCTTTGAGAGAATAAACAAGGTATGCTATGCTTTATTTATTTTGATGAATTTTGTTTGCTAGCCAAATGAGTCACCACCCAGGAAAAACTTAGAATGTGTTGATAACTATGCTCATAGTGCATTTTAGTATGCTATGTTGCCGCGGTCATGGAAAGAAAGAACTGATCTTAGGTTCGTCAATTTTCTGTAGTTAGCAGGACAATGTCGATCAAATGATTTTGGGACATAATTGTGTAGATGATTACTCTTTGTAGCCATCCAGGAAGGAGTTTGGCTTGATAGTGAATTACTATGCTAGGCGTGGGGACATGCATCGTGCGAGAGAAATGTTCGAGAAGATGCGTGCCAGGGGAATAGAGCCAACATCTCATGTATATACCAAGTTAGTATCCCCGTGCACTATGTTGACTTCTGTTGTTATGTGATCCCTACTTCACAATAGGTACTAAATTGGTACTTGACTTTTATAGGTTAATTTTGAGTGCTACCTAAGGGAAGTACTCTTCTATATGTAATATAATTGTGTTGTTATGTGATCCCTACTTCACAATAGGTACTAAATCGGTACTTGACCTTTATAGGTTAATTTTGAGTGCTTCCTAAGGGAAGTACTTTTCTATACTGTAATATAATTGAAGTGGATCAACAAATGTTTTTAGTTTCGTTAAGTGAGTTTATAGTTCTTTAAATAACCACATTTTGTATCTTTTATATTGCAGCCTGATTCATGCATATGCAGTGGGTAGAGACATGGATGAAGCACTTACTTGTGTGAAAAAAATGAAAGATGAAGGTCTTGAAATGAGCTCGGTTACTTACAGTGTTATCATTAGTGGATTTGCTAAAGTGGGCAAAGTCGAGTAAGTAGTTCCTGTGCCTCAAAGAGTCAAAGTGGCATATCAAGCAGTTTAAGATGTTACATAATCGTGTCAAGTTGCTTATGTTAGTTCTTTCATATGTTCTAAATCAGTTTAGTCAATGACATAGATATTGACATCTTGATTTGGTTACTAGAATCAAATGCTTATCTGTGCCCCAAATGCAAATTTATCTTAGTTTTGAGCTAAATTGTGAGGAATCTTATGGGAAACCAACGGCTTCTCTGATGTTTCATTTTTCTATTCATGGAAGAGATGCAGAGTGGTGGTTTCAAGGGGCCAAACAAGAGCATATGACCTTAAATGCTATCATATATGGAAGCATAATATATGCTAATTGGTATGCCATCCTTCATTTAAGGTTTATTTATTTTTTATATTTTGGAAATGGTAAACACCTTCATCACTAGATATGACCTTTGTGTAAATGGATATTGGATCATTTTGGTAATTAGTGACCTCTTTTCAACTCTCTAGCAGTGATGTTGCTTTTGTGTCGTTTTACCTAGTGTTGTATTCTATAAAAAATTCCATCCTACATAGTTTATTTGGATGGGAGTATGTCTTTGGAAAGAGAAAAGTGGAGGGCGCACATTCATGTGGACGATTGATCCCTTTTCTCTCTTTTCTCTCTCGTTTTCTTTTATCGTTTATCTTATTTTTCTTTTGATGTTTTTTTGTTATTTTTATCTTTTATCTTTCTTATGTTCTTTTATATTTCTATCTTTTACGTTTCTATCTTTTATCTTTCTTATTTTCTCATGTTATTATTATCTTATATTTACCTTTATCTTATCCATTTTATCGTACATTTTTTTTAATTATTCTTCCTATCTTTCTTCTCTTTTTGGATCTGATATCATGGATTGATTCATGTTAGCCGACCCCAAAATCTTTGGAGGCATAGTTTTGACTTTCAAAAATAGGACAGCCCAAACTAGAGCCGCCTAGATGGGACGAAGCCCACGTCCTAGCCCGTTTCAACCCATTTATTGGTGGATTAGGGTTTTCATTTTCTGACTCTATTAATTCACGGGTTTCACTTGTTTCATGGGTCAACCCTCATGGGTTGCGGGTTAAGTAGGTTGGCCACACAGGTTGCGGGTTAAGTAGGTTGGCCACACAGGTTGCGGGTTGGAATGCGGGCCAAAATACAAACATATAGTTTTGACTGTCATTATTTCAATATGGTTCTTTTACAACCAAAATTATTATATTTACAATTGTTCAAACATGATTATATCAATTAGTTTTCATGATTTACAAATAATTATTCAAACGGTTTAAGTACATCTTTACTTTTATACATTGAGTATTTTTGTTGGATACCTTCTTATAGTTTTCGTTATGGTATAACTAGTATTTAATATTCTTTTACTAAACTTAACAAGTATTGAATTATTATTATTTTGGTTTCCTATATTTCCTTTATTACTATTTACCAATATAAATATATACTCCAAGGTAATAATTTTTAGGGTAATTGCCTCAAATAGGAGTAAAAACGTTTTGGAAAGCAAAAGAGAATTATATTTTAATTTCCCAAAATAAAAATATAATTGAAAACTACTGTCATTAATGGTAGTAAATATTGTCAGGTTAATGCCTAACATTACAACTATTTTGGAAGTAATGACTCCAAGATGACAGTAAATACTTCCATGTTACTCTTATTTCGGGAATAAAACTATTAAGTATAAAAAAAATAGCAATTCTATTTTAGAATTATCCTATTTCGGGAAATTTTCCTTATTTTTAAAGAATTTTGTCATACAATTTTTTTACATTAAACTGTGAGTCGGCCCATTTAACCCACGAGTTAGGCGGGTTGTGTTAGGGTTGGAGAAATCCTGGCCCACCATTAAACAGGTTGGTCCAACCCAACCCACGAAAAGCATAACCCGTCACGGGTCGGATAGGGTTGGCCCATTTGACAACACATTGGAGTCATCGCACTGGGAGGGTTCAGGGAAGGGTCCTATCAAAAGGGTGTCTAGGGGGCAACCCATGACTTTTCAATGTGACAACAACACCTTGGCAGTGCATCAAGGCCCCCTTCACCCAAACCACATGAAATTAATACCTAATACTACTTACGTAGTTCCGTCCCACTATTGGGACATGAGGTGACACGATTATTAAGAAAAGTGATTTTATGTGGTTGATATTGAATTGGTAAAGTAAGAATAAAGTTAACATGATGTAGAACCACACAAACTTTACCAAATTTGAGACGAGACAATCTTAGTGGGACTGACTGAATAGAAAAGATGTGACAATCTTAACGGGACGGAGAGAATAACATTCAAGTTAATCTTCACTTTCGTAACATGCCTTTGAATTTTTTTTGTTTTGCATATGTTTTAGAGTTTACAAGAGAGACAATTGTGGATGAAAAATTTACACATGAATTGATAATATAGAAGTGACTTATATTTAGAAACACTCTAATGTGTGCCTTATAAATAGGACCAAAAGGAGATGCTGCTGGAATTTGTTCAATTATTTAACTAAATATTTGTGACAATACAGCCAAACAGGTAATATGGATAGAGCTGAAGAGTTGGTAAGAGAGATGGAAGAAGATGGCATTGATGCTCCAATTGATATATATCACACAATGATGGATGGTTATACAATGAGTGGAAATGCTGAGAAATGTCTTATTGTGTTTGATAGACTCAAGGTATGAGTGCCTTTTAGAAAAAGTGAAAAACAATGCTAAAAGTTGTATTTATACTAGCGTCCATATGGAACTCAAAAAATAAAAGAGAGAAAAATAGAGAGGAAAACAAAGAAGAGTGGTGGAAGGAAGGAATATATGGGGTGGGGTGAATATAAGATGGACTTGTACAACAACATACAAGCCTTAGTCCCAAAAGATTTTGAGGTCGGTTAACATGAATCGATATATGATATCGGAGCCAAAAGGAAAAGAAAGATAAAAACAAAAACGAAAAAGGATAAGATAAAATAGAGATCAGATATACATAAAAATGAAGGGATAAAAAGGATAAAAAGAATGTGTGTGTGTATATATATATATATATATAGAATTATGTTAAAAGGAGAAAATGATCTTAGGAGAGAAATGAGAATGAATCTGAACTGTTAGATTGCATTATGTGAAATTGAATGTGCATTAGGTGAAATGAAATGTTCATTAGATGAAATCAAAATGTGCAGCCCAAAAAATGCAGTAGTGGCATTATTTGAAGCTAAATTGTGCATTAGGTGAAACTGAAATGTGCTTTAGGGGAAACTGAAATGTTCAGAATAAAAGCTACGATGCGGTGACATTTTCATGCCTTTAATTCGGCACCTTTTCGATTTCACGTCATGCACATTTGGTTTTACCTTTTATACCGCACATTCCAATTTCACTTAATGCACAGTTCAGTTTCACCAAGTGCACAATTCAATTTCACACACCTTAAAAGTTGCAACATTGCGATTTTTGCTCTATTCACACACCTTACTTGAACAACGATTTTCTACTAATATATAAAATCAAATTATTATGTATAAAATGTGATTAAATTTCTATTAATGTAAATTTCTAAAATATTAACTTTTTATAATGTTTACTAATATGTGATTAAATATAATTACAGTCAAAGTTGTGCGTTGTCAAACGTGAAAGTCAAACTTTTGCAAGTATTAAAAGGATAAAGGATAAATAACATAAGAAACACAAAGAAGTTAAAGGGGAAAATGATGATATGACATCAATCCGCCGCACTGATACCCGCCCTCCACTTTCTCTCTCTAAAGTCATGCTGTCATCCAATCCAAGAAGAAGCATATCACTCTTAACTATTTTAATCTACGTTTGTTTGGGTCTTCCTCTCCCTTTCCCCCACCTTTTCTCCACACCTCTCAACTCGTCTAACAGGTGCATCACTCGGTTTACCGCAATCGAGACTCCCACATCTTATCTTCAATAGATGCTACTCTCACCTTTTGTCTGATTGTCTCATTCCTCAAGCGGTCGTTTCCAGTATGTCTACACATCCAACATATCGCGTGTATCTCTGCCACACACATCGTTTTTAATGTGACATTATACTAAAAAATTATTTTAGATATTTGATTCATGTCACATGATGTGATTAGATAATACGGTTGGTTGTCACACGCATATCACATCACCCTTCTCCTTTAGTCCTTTATCTTGGTTTGGGACCGACATGATACCAAAAATGATCTCATGGCGGAGTTAAAAAATCATTTTATTATTTACTTCTATAGATTAATAATTTATGGTAATAATAAAATATTGGCTAGAAAAACAAAAACTCCTCTTTTGGTCCCATGATTATTAAGCTATTCCCCTTCTTCATCTAGTGCTTTCAGTTTTTCACTTTTGGTACATGACTATACTCTCTTGCCACCTTTGGTCCTTTCCGGCCCCATATCAAGATTAAATCAGTCGAAAATTGTACAGAAATCGACTGGATAAGTGGTCAGATGGACCACAAGTGACAAACAGTCTATAATCAGTCTATAATCATGGAGTCAAAAGTGGGAAATCGAATGATAAGGGCCAAAGGTTAGAATGTCATAATACTCATTGATCCACAAGTGAAATTTTTTAAAAATAGCATTTAGATATTTTTAAAGTTTCAAATTTTTTTAGTTTATTTTCTTCTATATAATGAAGACTAAAAATGTTAAAATATGGAAACTTTTAAGTAAAAGTAATTATATTTCAGTTTCCTTTGCATTTTCTAAAGTAAAGCTGAACTTAAGCGAATGACTTCCATAGGCATTCTGCCCTATCCTAGGACTTTTGAGGATCCAAAAATACTCTTATGAATCTTGTGAACTTGTGAAAAAAATTGCTTGACCTGTTTTTTTTTCTCTTCAGAGATTTTACCTAGTTCCTTGTTTGACCAAGAAAAGAGGAAATGTTCTGAAACGTGGGGAAATGGGAAACATGAAATGTCAGGTTTTAATAGAAAAATAACCGTTTAGAGTTTCCAAAACGGAGACGTACTATTTATGAGAGTTTCTGTGCTTCATATGTTCTGCATAACACATTTAAATATTATCTGATTCATCCATCGAACCGAAACACTTCTAATTGGTGACCTACTTACTTAGCATGGGAAAACTGAATCCATATATTAATTCAATGTAAATTCCATGTTGATTTTCTACGCAGTGGCTCACCACAACATTACACCAGTCTTTGAACTGGCTATGTTCAGAGCTGTTTAGGTAGATTATCTCATCTTCAAAGTGTGAGATTATGAACTGTTCTAGTGTTTTGGCTTTGGTGCAGGAATGTGGCTTTGCACCATCAATAGTCAGTTATGGATGCCTCATTAATTTGTATGTAAAGGTACTGTTCCCCGCAGTACCATTGGCTTTTCTGTAAAAATTTCCGTTGTTTTTATATATGTATTACGTGCCTCACTCTTGAAATTAAAATCCCACCGGAGTTAGCTTAGACCATCTTATAACATGGTAGTTGTTAGGATATAATCATATAAACACATCATTGATGAAATATTTTGAGCATCTTCTTCATTAAGTCTAGTTTACCCATACAAAATTTCAGCTAAAAATAAAACCGGGAAGGCAGTCAAATGATTTTCTGAAATATACTGCGTTGTTTAACTGCACTGGTATCTTCATAAAAAATTTATTTGACCGACTTCCCAATTGAAGTTTGGTATGAGTGAACTACACTTGATGAAGAAGATGCTAAAAAAATGTCATAAAAAAATTCCACCGGGAACCTCCCGAAATGACGACGGCCAGACAAAACCTCCTATATAAGGGGTGATTTGCACTTTTTTGGTTAGTTCGAAGGCTTATTTGCCCCCTTTCCCCCAGAAAAAACCGCTTGAGGAATGAGACTAAATATAGCTGCACCATCCATCCATTGTAGTTCTTCTTCTCATGATGCTCTGTCATTCCATTGTAATAGTATTTTTTTAAAGGCTTTAGGACACAATAAATCCCATGATTGGAGATGTTGACAAAGCTAGTCCATTGTATATGTAATCCTTAAGTAGCAACCATATATTTAAAATTCTTGATGGTATTGGGATCCGTTTTATTTCGTGCACTAAAATATGTGGATGCAATAGATATTTTGTCTAGCTATGAGTTAATTTCCTATGATCATCAATCATCATCGCCCCAGTGCTGCAAAGGCTCCCACCTATGGTGGGGTAAGGGGGGTTGGATGTATGCAGTCTTACCACTGTACTAAAGCACAAAGACTGTTTCCGGATGACCCATAGTGAAAATTGCGTCTAAAATTGCATGGATTGAGTGTTGCTTCATACCAAAGAAGCGCAAACAGTGTAGTGAGCCATTTTTCTTTATTTCATCATATTCTCAAGCCAAAAAATAGCCAGTCTTTGGCTCCATTGCAAATGATGTAAACAATTAATTTCCTATGATGTGTAATTATTATTCGTTCCTCATCTTATATGCTAGCTAAGTGTTAATTTCCTATGATGTGTAGTTATTATTCATTCCTCATCTTATATGCTTTTTTTGTTATTTCATATTATTAGCTATTGAAGATTGAAGATTAATTTTTTGACCTGTAATTCTATTTTCTAACTTATATACATGAGTTCCACACAGGGACACAATTTTAGCCAAAAAGAGCTTGTGAAATTTTTAAATTCCACTGCACAGAACTAGACGTCTAATACCGTCTAGGATTCTAAAACGATGGATGCTATTTAAGAATTACACATACGATAAACTGGTCTTGTCACTGTCTTGAAGCATTGGATTTTGTGTGTGTATCTAGACATTTTGGTTGGAAATCGATAAACATATTTTTAGTACTTTCTGCTTTATGTTTTTGTAATTGTTATTTACATAATAAACCATTGCAGTCCAAAATGCTTTCTAAAGCATTGGAAGTCAGTGAAACAATGAAATTGGCTGGCATCAGACATAACATGAAGACTTACTCTATGTTGATCAATGGATTCATAAATCTGAAGGACTGGGCCAACGCCTTTGCCATTTTTGAAGATATAATAAGGGATGGTTTAAAACCAGATCTTGTGCTTTACAATAACATCATCAAAGCTTTCTGTGGGATGGGAAACTTAGACCATGCCATCCGTATGGTTGATGAAATGAAAAAACAGAGGCTTAAGCCTAGTTCAAGGACGTTTTTGCCCATCATTCATGCTTTTGCAAAAGCTGGAGATATACACAGAGCCCTCAGCACTTTGGTGTTGATGAGGAGGAATGGTGTTACACCAACAGTCCATGTGTTTAATTCTCTAATTCTTGGCCTTGTTGGAAAGCTGCAGGTAAATACAAGTTTTCAGCTCTTCATTTTATGGTACTTGGATAGGGATTGAGAGCCCATTCGGAAAAGATTGGTTTGTCTTATGAGCACGATTTTCACCAAACACTAACTATTGTCATAATGCCTAGATGGTTATGGTAGGCACCTGTTTTGTGAAACATGTGCTGTATTATACCAATGTTTTGCTGCCTAGATCTGCCTAGGAGCTAGGCCTCAGGGCATACATATTTTTTCCCCTGAATGGACCCTACCTCTGGTTGTATGTCCTACTCCACCCGGGAGCTAGACTCCACTCTTCTTCCCACCTAGTACTTGTTGCTTTTAGAACCGAGTATTTTTACTACATAGACAGTTTTAATCAACTCAATTTTTTTTCTCCTCTCCAAAACACAGATTGAGAAGGCTGTTGGCATATTGGAAGAGATGTTGGTAGCTGGAATTAGTCCAAATGAACACACATATACAACAATTATGCAAGGCTATGCATCTGTTGGTGATATTGGAAAAGCTTTTCAGTATTTCACAAAACTAAAATCTGAAGGTTTGGTGGTTGATGTGTATACATATGAGGCTTTGCTCAAGGCGTGTTGTAAATCCGGGAGGATGCAAAGCGCTTTAGCAGTGACTAAAGAAATGAGTGCTAATAACATCCCAAGGAACACCTTTGTTTACAACATCTTAGTTGATGGGTAAGAAGTATAATAATAATTTGGGAAATTTACTGTTACCCTCGAGTTAGGTCATAATTATCATTTCATCCTTATATATTCAAAAGTCAATTAGTTATCCTTTGACCTTTGATTGTTTTCACTACTTCACCCTTCCGTTAATATTTATAACTTCATTGCTGTTCATTATTCTGCTGTTTTGGTTACTTTTAAAAACATTTTCCTATAAGTAGCCGAGATGAAGTAATATAAAAAGCAGCATCCATGGATTATAATGACAAGGGGGAATGTTTTGACTTTTAAAGTGGATTTTTAGACAACCTTTGTTAGATTTTTACAGTTACATGATTTCAAACGAGATAAATATTAACAGAAGTGGGGGAAATGTGGTAGTGATTTTTGTTTCTCATTTAACAAATGCATATGTATGAAAGCAGAAAAGACGAAAACCGTATCTGTGATTTATGAGTTCAATATTTTTTCGGTGGCTTTATTGTGATATATATATGAAGGTGGGCGAGAAGAGGTGATGTTTGGGAGGCTGCTGATCTTATGCAACAGATGAGACAGGAAGGGGTTCAGCCTGATATCCATACATACACGTCTTTCATTAGCGCTTCTTGCAAAGCCGGAGACATGCAGGTGATGCTACTGAAGCTTTATCATTAAAATTTAGTGATAAAATATGAAGTATCTATACAACTGCCTCACATTAGATGTTTACTACGTAGTATATTTTTGTCTAAAACATCAGTATGAGGTGAACTACATTTACATCGCCATGTCATCATTTACATACCAAAAACAATGTCAAATTCCAAAATAGGAGTATTATGTTTTTTCCTAAATATTACTGACTTCAGAGACATGGTCATCTTTTATTACTTCATGAGAGTATAACTTTGGGGGGAGCGAAGTGAATAGTGTATTCGTATTGAGGATTGATCTCTTTTTATGTTTTTAACTTCGATTTCATATGTTTATTCATGTTAGCCTATCTCACACTCTTTTGGCACTAAAGAGTTGTAGAGTAATAATGGACATGCTTGGAAAATAATGCCAATTATGACATTAATACTGCCATATTAATGCCTGGTAATGCCAAAATGCGGCAGTATGATTTCAAGGTGACAGTAATTTACCTCAACCTAGGTACTGAGGCTTAGATGTTGTAAGGTTTTTTAGCTTCAATCTCATATGTTGATTCATGTTAGTCGAACCCAAACTCTTTTGGGGCTAAGGCTTGATTCATGTTAGTCGAACCCAAACTCTTTTGGAGCTAAGGCTTGGATGTTGTAGGGAAAACATATAACCCTTATTTTGGAACTATTTTAGAGTTTCATTGTTTTTGATCCTATTTTGGAAAATTTTCCAATTTAATACCAACATGGCCATGTCATTATTTTCAGAGAGCAGTGAGCACAATTGAAGAAATGAAAGCGGTGGGAGTGGAACCTAACATAAGAACGTATACAACCCTAATAAACGGGTGGGCCCGAGCTTCACTTCCGGAGAAGGCATTGAGCTGTTTTGAAGAAATGAAGAAAGCCGGAATGAAGCCCGACAAAGCCACTTACCATTGTTTGATGACATCCCTTGTATCGAGAGCTGCTGTCACCGAAGACTACATCTTAACGGGCATCTTAAATGTTTGTGGGGAGATGGTTGAGTCGGGCATGACAGTTGATATGGGCACGGCCGTCCATTGGTCCAAGTGCTTACGGAAGATCGAGAGGGCAGGTGGCAGTATAACAGAGGCCCTTCAAAAGACATTTCCTCCCGACTGGAATGCTCATAAAACTATTATTGCAACTACGGTTGATGTCAATGACGAAGATGAAGGATTAGTTAACAGTGAATATGATTATGATGATGATGCACAAGAAAGATGAAAAGCTCCTATGGATCCAAAGAGAATTTCTTGTACTGTTTTTAGTAATAGAGTTCTTTTTTTATTTTATTTTTATTTCCAAAATTGGTACGAGAATATGTTTAATGTGCAACTTTTTGGTAGATATATGTAGTAGTAAAGCTGTTTGGTGTAAGGACTGGTGATGCCATTAGATTTAATAAAAAATGTATTGGATTTTGTTGAGGAAGAAAATTCTCTGATGAAATAGTAAAGAGAACGGGGCCTTCTTTTTTGATGTTAGGCACTCGACATTTCTGACTCCGATTCTGTTTGAGTTGAAGTTGCAGGGAGATAAAGGTAAAAAGCGACTCATATAATGGAGACATGACATAAAACATAATCATGTACATATGCCAAGGCTTGGTTCCTTTGAGTTAGCATAGTAATGATCATATATTGTCTCTTAGTTGACTAATTATTGGACTCTCTCTTTTTTCTCTCTAACCCATTTTTCTCCATGGTTTTGATTGTTCAATTATGAATCATTACAGTCAACAACATTAAGGAAAGGGGGAGGGTTTAGATGGGATTTCAATGATATTACTTTCTAGTTGGGCTGAAACTAGTGGGCTAAAATGATGAAGTTGATGGGCTCACTAAATCAGGTAATGTATTCATGAACCCACCCACATTATTCTAGGCACTAGTTTTTTATCAATCCAAACAACGCTTTATTCCCTCACCTCCTTTTCCTGTACACTTTGTAGAGAATTGATGAGAGGTTTGTGATGAGAAGCTTGAATCACAAAAACAAGAAGGAAAAGAAAAGGAAGAATACACACAGTTCCCAATCCCTTCAAACAGACAGGCAGTCCTCTCCCTCTTTTTCAGATCTCTCCTTTCTCTTTTCTTTCACTTTTCTCTTTTTACCAAAGCTCTATGGCACATCATTTATAATTATTATATGTGGTCATAAAACATAAACTAAAGCACTTTTTTGTTTTTGTTATATTTTTTGAGCTAAGGTTTAATTCTCATAATATTAAACCAATCGCATAGAAACTTCAACTTTTAATCATCATCACAGATTACGTAAAATATGAATAGTCCAACTCCCAAAGTCCAATTATCCTAGTATTATTATTATTACACCTTTAATTCAATTATCACCTTATGAGAGCAAAAAAGAAAGACTAATTAACTTTAACTTTGCCTCATGCTTTTTCACTTTGTCTTAGTAAGCTAACCATTACAAGAAAGGCATAACCTTACCATCCCACCCCCTTCCTCCCACACCCACCCCACCCCACTCTGAGTCCTATTAATTCCCTTCACCAACACTCTCCAAACTCATAATCTCTACTTTCTCTAAACAACATCCCCATCTCCTCCGCTATCATAATCTCTTTCTTCATCACAATATTCTTGAAAACAACAGACTACTATATACTAAGGCAAATCATTAAACATATCTAGCTAAGATGAGGAGTGGTGGCTATACATTCCAACAGTCACTAACACATGAATCAGCAAGCATAGTGAGGCAGGCAATGAGCTTAGCTAGAAGGAGAGGACACTCCCATGTGACACCTCTCCATGTAGCTAGTGCCATGCTGGCTTCCTCCACCGGGTTACTCAGAAGAGCTTGCCTTCACTCCCACTCTCACCCCCTTCAATGCAAAGCCCTTGAGCTTTGCTTCAATGTCGCCCTCAACCGACTCCCAACTTCTTCTTCAAACCCCATTTTGGGCCCACATTCTCACCTCCCTTCCCTCTCCAATGCCCTGGTTGCCGCCTTCAAGCGAGCCCAGGCCCATCAAAGAAGAGGGTCCATCGAGAACCAGCAGCAGCCCATTCTTGCCCTTAAAGTGGAAGTTGAGCAGCTTGTGATTTCCATTCTTGATGATCCCAGTGTGAGTAGAGTGATGAGGGAAGCCGGGTTTTCTAGTAGCCAGGTTAAAATCAATGTGGAACAAGCCGTTTCCTTCGAGATTAAGGAAGGGACCACTCCGAAACCGTTAGTCCTGGGTGTTCCTCCTCATCATCAACATCAAGTAAGCCGGTTCCCACCATCAAGTGACCGGACGGTCAGAGATGAGGATGTGATGAGTGTGGTGGAGGCTATGATGAGCAAGAAGAGGAGAAACACGGTGGTTGTCGGGGAGTGTTTGGCCACGGCTGAAGGGGTAGTGAAAGGAGTGATAGAAAAGATGAGCAAGGGTGAGGTGGAGAGGGAGGACATGAGGCATGTGCAGTTTATCAGTGTTCCTGTTTTGACCCTGAGAAACATGTCAAGGGAGGAGTTTGAGCTGAAGATTGGGGAGCTGAGGGCCTTGGTGAAAAGCTACATAAGTAGGGGGGTTGTTTTGTATTTAGGTGACCTTAAGTGGGTGTCTGACTTTTGGTCAAAATATGCTGACCAAAGCACTCACTATTGCTACTCTCCCGTGGAGCACATGATAATGGAGCTTAGCAGATTGTTATGTGGTGGGATAGGCGAAAATGGGAGACTTTGGCTAATGGGAATTTCCAGCTTTCAGACTTACATAAAGTGCAAAACTGGCCATCCTTCTCTTGAGAATCTTTGGTCTCTTCATCCCCTCACAATCCCTGTTGGCAGCTTCTCTCTTAGCCTCAAGCCCGAAAGGTATATATTTTCTCATATTTATATGGTTAATCATGCCAAATTATTTAAATTAAATACCCCGTATAAAGATATAAACCAACATATAAAGTCTTGATTACTTATCATCTCCAAATTATTGGTTTTTATTAATTTGTTTGTTCATACAGTGATTTGCTTGGTCAATTGGGAAGCAAGACAGCAGTAGTAGAAGGATCAAGCTGGTCTCTGAGTAACAGAAATCAAGGTGCTGATGAGAAGCATCTTACTTGCTGTGTAGATTGCATGTCAAACTTCAACAAAGATGTTAGAAACAGTAGGTGTGCTGTTAAGACTGAGCCTAACACCACCACAAGCTTGTTGCCTTCATGGCTCCAAAAGTGCAAAGATGATTCCACAAGACAAACCACCAACCATCAGGTATTAATTGATCAATTAAATACCTTTTATTATAGGCACTTGCCACATATTACCCTATTACCTTTTCAGTAAATACATATGAATGAGATGCATCACAAAATAGAAAGAGGGCAAAGTTGGAAGATAATATTTCATTACATAAGTACTTTTTGAAATAAATACTGACATTCTTTTTAACTTAAAAAATAGCAGGAGTATGACGGGACTACTGATCTATGCACGAAATGGAACTCAATTTGCAGCACAATTCACAAGCACCCACTTTTTCCTGAAAAGAACTTGATGAGTTTCTCTCCATCTCCATGCTCATCGCCTTCCATATCATCTTCAAACGACAAAAAAAGTTCCAAGTTACACCAAAGCCTACTGCAATGGCCAGTCATCTTTGAGTCAAACCGATCACCCAAAGAGCACCTATTCTTTGCATCCCAAAACGGGGCGCAGGCAGGAACTACAAAGCCAGACTTGTTATCCAACCCGAATTCGAGCCCTAACTCGGCTTCCTCAAGTGAAGCAAGCGGGGACCATCTTATACCCATGGAGTGTTTGAACAAGTTCAATGAAGTGAATTCAGAAAACATGGACATTCTTTGCAAGGCGCTGGAGAAGAGAGTTCCATGGCAAAACAATAGCGTGTTCCCAGAAGTAGTCGGCACAGTGCTGAAGTGTAGGTCAGGACTGGTGAAGAGGAAAGGCAAACAAGAGACATGGATGTTCTTCTTAGGTGTTGATTCACTGGGGAAAGAGAGGGTTGCAAAGGAGCTAGCCAGGGTTGTGTTTGGTTCTGAGGACAACTTTATCCCCATTGGGATTAGCAGCTTCTCACCATCACTGAAGGTGGTTTCCGCGGAGGCAGCGGAGGAAGAAGTGATCAGCAACAACAAAAGGGGGCGAGACGAGGAAGCGGGAAGCTATCTTGAGAGGTTCTTGGAGGCAGTCAGGCAAAACCCTAGCAGGGTTTTCTTCATGGAGGACATTGACCAAGTTGACTATCATTCCCAGAAGGGAATCAAGAAACTGATTGAGAGTGGGAGCTTCAAACTGCCCCATGGTGATGGAGAAACGGTGAGGATGAAGGATGCAATCGTCATTTTCAGCTGCGAGAGTTTCGAGGCCGCCACCACGTCAAGGGCCCCATCTCCTGTGACTCCTCCCATGGCTGCACCAAAGTGTGAGATGTTCCAAGAAAGAAAGCCATGTGTTTCGCTGGATTTGAACCTTGCAAGTGAAGATGGCCATAGTGATGAGCATTTCCGTTCCAACCTTGGAATCCTGGAAGTGGTAGATAAACAGGTTGAGTTTAAAATTCATGACTTGTTAGGTTGAGCAGAGATGAATCCAAAACCCGGAATCATGCATGTAGAATTTCTAATTTCCTTTACATTTTGTGGTTATATATATTTGTATTTTTTTGTTATTTTCTTTGTTTTAATTTAGTTTTGTGTTCCAAAAAATGTGGGAAGGGGGTAAAGTTAAAATTTTCACAGGTCCCATAGATTTAATTTAGATGGAGTTGAAGTACGTAGAATAGATTAGAGAAGAATGAAATGTACATTTAACGTACACTTGCTTGAAGCTTTAGTGATGCATGTTGTGTTGTTTTGATTTTAATGTATTGTTAACTTATTATTCTTGTACGTACGTATACATTAAATTGATGTGGCAGCATTATTTAGCTAATTGGAGTATTAATGGATTATAATGGTCCACGATTAATTTTATGTCAAGCGAGGCGATTTTTTTTGTCATACGGAGTGTATAATATTTTATATACCATTTTACTTAAAAATTAATAAAAAAAATATTCAGAGTCAGTTAAAGGGGCATAAGCTTATAGAATTTATGTTGTGGGGTCAAAGTTTAATAAATTAGTAATGGAATTAATAAAAAATTAAATAAATCAAAACCTATGAAACGTTAGGTCCTAAATTGATAGTGAATCTATCTTTCGGGTTCTGAATTGATAAAATTCCTTTTTTTACTACCTATAAATATTTATACACATGTATATACATCGCAATCTTTTTTTGGGGGGATGGAGACCCCCTCCAACCTCCCTTGTCTCCACCCTTTATGGCCTGTTTGTTTGGGGGTTAACCTAGGTTATTGAAGGTTCAATTTCTAGTTAATCCCGTTTGTTTGTATTTTTGCAACAAGAACCTAGGTTATGTGTTAACCTCACTTAACTCCCGAGAACCTAGAAGAACCTTAATGGCCTGTTTGTTTGGGGGTTAACCTAGGTTATTGGAGGTTAAGTTCTCGTTTAACATAAAATGAGCTAGAGTACCTTCATCCAAACAACATTTATTACATTAACCTAGGTTCACCTTGAATATTGTCAAACGGTATTTTGCGTATGGACCTAGTTTCACTTAGGTTAACCTAATTTTTATTAAAACTTAGGTTTACTTTATTGCACTAGGTTTACTTAACTTCACTTTATCCAAACAGAGCATAAATTGAAGAACCTCCGAATCGGGGGGTTTTGGAAGTTAAGTTCTCATTTAGCATAAAATGAGGTAGAGTACCTTTATCCAAACAACATTTATTACATTAACCTAGGTTTACCTTCTATATTTCCAAACACTATTTTACGTATGAACCTAGGTTCACTTAGGTAGTTAACCTAGTTTTTATTAAAACTTAGGTTTACTTTATTGCAATAGGGAACAAATCAAAATACTACTTTTTTTTATTTTTATATATAAACAATTCAAAGTACTACCATTTCACATTACTTGGCGATAAAACAAGTTAGTCTAAAGAGTATTGAACCAGCGGTAAATTCGACAGGACTCATTAACAAGAACAAAAATTTATAGTTGATATGCTAGCTCTAAATGTATTTTCAATTCAACAATGTTCACAATGCACATGTGGAATGAGAGAGATAAACACATAAAAATAAATCATTCACATTTCTATCTTTTTCACTATTTTATATAATTATGATAACATTTTCACAACAATGTCAACCACAATATAATGTCAACATCTAGACACTCCTGTTGACATTGTAAAAAAACATACTAAATATATATAAAACCTTTCAAGTAAAGAGAGAAATATAATGCTCATTAATATTTAGGGAAAAGTATAGAAAAAGTACATGTAGTTTGTGCCGTTTTTAGATAGGGGCACATGTTTCATTTTTAACATAGTAGGACATGTTTTTCAATTCTGTTATCACAACTGGGGCATGGTGTCTAACGTCGTTAAAAAAATTAATTACGATTTTCTAAAGTCTACGAAAAATAAAAAGAAAAATACTGGGAGGTGCGCCTCGTCAAGGAGACCAACAAACTATTACAGAGTATTCTCTTTGAATTTTTTGGCTCTAGTTGGATTATTTTTGTTTTTTGAAATGAATTCGCTAATATCACTTTTCCGGTGGACTTTCTTGCGATAGGGTGGCTAGAAACAAAAACAGAAAGATGGTCTGGAGGCTATCTTGACTAGGCCCACCGCCTAGTATTTTTCTTTTAATTTTCGGAGACTTTTGAAAATCGGAGTTCATTTTTCTAACAGCGTTAGGCGCCATGCCCCAGCTGTGATAACGGAATTGAAACACATATCTCATTTTGTTAAAAAATGAAACACATGCCCTATCTAAAAACGGCGCAAGCCACATGTACCTAGTTTTTCTGTACTTTTCCCTAATATTTATGTGTCTACCTCTCTTATGTCACATGTATACATTATGACATTGGAGATGTTCTATCGTATCAGCATTTTGCGATACATGTTAAGTCATATCGAGCCGGCCACATATTAAGATTCAAACAAATGTATATGGTCTTGTATATCCGTATGTACTACTCCCTCCGTCCCTAAAAGAACTTTCGTTCCACTATTCACTTGGTCAATTTAAATCACTTTTAATCATTTACTTTATGGGAAAACTGTCAAATAGGTCCTCGAACTTTCATAAAAAAGTCAATTAAGTCCTTCTACAGGAGACTCTGTCCGGTCGTCGCGATTTGGGGCGGTTCCCGGTGGAATTTTTTGATGAATTTTTTTGTGCATCTTATTTATCAAGTCTAGTTTACTCATACCAAATTTCAGCTAAAAATTTAATCGGGAGCGCATTCAAATTAATTCGAGAACGCAAAAATGCGCAGTTATCTTCAAGAATTAATTTGAATGTGTTCCCGATTGAATTTTTAGCTGAAATTTGGTATGAGTAAACTAGACTTGGTGAATAAGATGCTCAAAAAAGTTCATCAAAAAATTCCACCGGGAACTGCCCCAAATCGCGACGGCCGAACAGAACCTCTTATAGGACTTAATTTACCTTTTTATGAAAGTTCGAGGACCCATTTGACAGTTTTCCCTTTACTTTATATATCAAAATTCTATGAAATTTGAAGTAGTTTAATTTTTGTAGACTTTGTAGAGTTTTTAATGTAGTTTTTGAATATATAAATTCTATTTACTAAAAATAATCTATTTTCGACAAGGACCATTGAACTTTATTGTTGGTCAAACATCGTAAACTGTAATTGGAAGTTATTTTAGGGACATAGGGAATATTTTTTAAAATAATTGTTTTTTTCTTAATTATATACAAGTATAGTATTTAACTACATTAATCTTTAAGAATGAAGAAATAAATTCCCATGTTATACTTATACTAGTATTTATTTGTATAGTTTAATGCTTGTAGTCCAAGAAAATATTCGTAATTATACCATAGGACGTATATGGATGAGATTAGTCATTTAAAATTAAAATGATAAGAATAATCCCAACTATTAGTTATTCATTTCAAATAATTCAAAACATCAATTTTCTCTAAATAATCCCAATAATTGAAAATAATTATCAAAATGCTTTAGTGACTTATAAAACCTGTAAATGACCTATAATATTTACGAGTGAGTGGAATATTTTGAGAATATTTTGAATAGTCTTGATTATTTTGAGATAAATGATACGTAGTAATTTATATTATTTTCAAGCATATCACTAATAATTCGGATTAATCTTTTCATTTTTCCTTTTAAATTTTGTATTCCATTTTATATATACAAATATTGTTAGTTTATGTAATAAATGTGTACGTCTAATGCGTATGAATGCTAAATCTTTAATTTGAAAATTTGGTACATTTTCATAAAAATTTATCAAAAAATTTAACTTGAATACCCCACAAACGGGTTTGGCGGTATGAGGCATCTGATCAAACGCGAATTATCGGATCATTTCTCTCTATTTAAATACGTACATAAATATTTCTCTAAAATAACTACGTCTCTATTTTACTAGATTTACACCCGTGCGATGCACGGGACATAAATTCTTTAAATTATGTATAGGTCCAATGAGAAGTGATCAGGTCCAGCCGGAGGGACGGGAGGCGCCGTCCGAACTCCGCCGTTTGGGGCGGTTCCCGGTGGAACTTTTTGATGAATTTTTTTGAGCATGTTCTTCATCAAGTCTAGTTTGTTCATACCAAATTTCAGCTCAAAATTCGACCGGGAAGGCATTCAAATCATTTTTTGAAGTTGACTGCGCCAAAATATACATATAAAAATGCAGTCAACTTCAAAAAATGATTTGAATGCCTTCCCGGTCGAATTTTGAGCTGCAATTTGGTATGGACAAACCAGACTTGATGAAGAACATGCTCAAAAAATTTCATCAAAAAATTCCACCGGGAACTGCCCCAAACGGCGGAGTTCGGACGACTGCTGGACCGGGGAGGGCTGGACCTGATCTTTTTTGTAGGTCCAATATAATAAAAGTAATATATTGTGAAAAAAAATTATATAAAGATCAGATTGGATATGCAAATATGATTATTTTTGGATAAATCATACGAAGTATTAACTACTCCGTATTAAGCAATGAATAGATATTTATACAATGTTAATTTCGATTAAGAGGTCGTTTGATAACACTGTTTTTCGGCTTGTGAAGCTTATCAGCCAACTTTTTCACCAAAAACGTAACTTTTGTTATCTCGCGTTGAATTGTGTAATAATAACAAAAAGTAATGTTGGAGTTACTTTTCTGGCTGTATGGGCTGAAGTTACTGTAGATGACCATTTTAACTATTTTACATATTATTTTTTCATTATTTTATTAAGAGAATATTACCCGAAATAGGACTAAAAAGGGTTGAAAATTCCAAAATAGGACTTCCATGTTTTTATTCCAAAAATAGGACTAATTACTGCCATGTTTTGGCAGTACCAGACTTCAAACGTGACAGTATTTTCCAACCTTTCCCAGTAATTACTCTTATTTTGGGAATAAAAAACATGACAATCCTATTTTAGAATTTACAAACTGTTTTAGTCCAATATCGGGAACTTTCCCTTTTATTAATAAAATACAGAGAATATTACCTGAAATAGGACTAAAAAGGTTTCAAAATTCCAAAATAGGACTGCCATGTTTTTATTCCCAAAATAGGACTAATTACTGCCATGTTTTGGCAGTACCAGACTTCAAACATGGCAGTATTTTCCAAACTTGGCAGTAATTACTCCTATTTTGGGAATAAAAAACATGACAGTTCTATTTTGGAATTTTCAAGCTGTTTTAGTTCTATTTCGGGAACTTTCCCTAAAATATACGATAGTACTTCGTATTTTAAAAATATTTTTTTCTTAAATTAGCAGAATCTACCAATGAACTCACTTCAGCCAGAACTTCATAAAT